GGCTTTTTGCCTTCCTCTCAACTATGATCTTCAAAAATTTAAATTCAATATAAATCATTATCTTCTGTGTTCTTGAATCCTGGTCTTTTAATGTTCTCTCACCTCAATAACATTTTCTCAGCTTTTTTATTCTCAATAACTCCTTCCATCTTAGAGGCTTTCTTGCCTCACCAGTAGTGAAATGATTAATAAAAAAAAATGGAATAATATTGAATATGTTATGAAGTACAAAAAATGTTTATAAATGTCACAAATGGAAGGGTGGATATGGTTTAAATTCAATCTTTGTAGTTGCCAGAGGTCAAAGAAGTAGAATTTATTTGTGGTGTTTGGGCTCTACATTGTAGCCAAAACTAAAACATTATTGAAGGTAAATTTTTATGCATGGTAACTTAAACAGAAAAATATAAGAGGGCACTTCAATCCTGGATTTAAACAGCATTATTTTTTTAAAGCCAAATGAGAGAACTTAATAGACTAAAAAGTAAAAAAATGCTTAATTTTTCTTATAGTTTTTCTTTTTCTACTTCGTTTAAAACGTCGTGCAACTTTTCAGATTTTTTAAAATTAAAAGATGAAACTTGATAAAAATGTTATAAATTACCTAAAACAACCGAAACTACCAATGGCTGTGTGAATGAAACATTTCTTTTTTTCCATCTTTTGTTTTTTATACCATATTCCTGTGTAACGCTAGGTATCCCTGTTGCTAGTTTTTACTTATTATGTCTATTTTTATGATGTTTTAGTTTTTTAATAATATTGGAATACAATCTTAGCAGATTAAATTTTTGTACTGCGCGCTTGTGTTGTCTGTTTTTGTGTGTCTAGAGAAAGAATAGATTACATTAAATTTTTCGACGAAAACGATTCTATCGGAAAGTACTTATCGACAGAAATTTCGCATTTAATCTGAATGACGAAAAATAAAAAGCATTCGCCAAGGGAGGTTAGAAAAATATCTTTAATCTAAGGGAAGTAACTCTAAATCAATTTACGAATCTCAGTTTTTTTTTATGGTTTTTCGAACAATTTCCAATATATTTCTTAATTTTTTTTATCTTCCTTTTTGTATTATTTTATATTTCTTATTGCCTTGGGAAATTTTAAAAGTAAAACACAATCAAGTTCTTGTTTGTTACGTTCAATACGAGTTTTGGTAAATAATGTCTCTGTTGTTATTGCACCTATTTTTAATTCTATTCACTCAGGTTCATTTCTTCTTTTTTGTTTTTTTTTGATGTCTCCTTTACTTCAAGAAGAAGAATGTTCACATTGTTTTTTGATTTTTTTACAGTGTTTTTATTTGTATAAAATTTTCATCGTTAAAAATACACTATTCTTTTTGCAAGCGAATTAGAAATTAGTGAATTTAAAATTACATCTATTTGGTGAACTTTTTTTTTAAGTGAATAATTCAGGTTAGGACACAAAGTATTTTTTCTATTTGGTAGGCTTCAGCTCTGAAGTAAAAATCCATCTCTCCAGACAATACATCTCCCTAGTTGGAGGGCTAAGGTTTTTTTTTTTTTATTACTTTTCCCTGACATCCGCAAAAGGGGGGAAATATCGAGGTGGGTGACAGGATTATTTGGGGCTTTCTATCCCATGTAACCATCGGACACCCACTTTAAAATCAATTTTGTGTCATATTTTGTTCGAGTGGGCCTGCGGATAAATCATGATTTTCTAAGTTACATTTTTCACTTGCATAAGTAGCGAAGTAATTGTTCTAAGTAACGCGGTTAATCGAAATAAGTGCTGCGTAATTCGTCGGGAAAAAAGATTTTATAAAAAAAAGTCATTCATTAATATTAATGAATGACTTTTATAAGATCTTATTCTTTCATAACTCCTTGTGTCTTAGTGGCTAATAACTCAATAAATAGATTAACATATCAGAAAAACAAGACCTGTAGTCAAGAAATGTTTGTATACAACATTTTAAGTAACATTTTGTTTAAAATCAGAAAAATTTAACTTTAAATCAGCTGATTTTCCTCAAATAGCGTTTCAGAAATATATATCTTATTTTTGCAAGATTTTTAGTTTTTTTCATTTTTAAAAGTTTATTTTAAACCTTATGTATACCAAATTAGTAGAGGTACTTATTTTTTAATCATTTCACTTCACGCAAGGCAGTAAAGCCACTAAGACGCAAGGAGTTATTAGTATGAAAGAATCAGAAATCTGTCTCCTACATGTTCGATCATAAAAGTAAAAACAAGATAAAAAACGAGAAGATCACTAGATGGAAATTAGAACTTGCCTGTTTCAGTTACGACATAGCGTATCGTCCCGGAAAACAAAATGCTGCTGCGGACGCTTTATCACGAATCTGCTCTTCTACCATCTCTGCACAAAGATTTATGTCACCCTGGGGTAACCGGAATGCTGCATTTTGTCAGAAGTAAAAATATGCCATACTCTGTAGAAGATGTAAGAGCGGTAACCAGGTCATGCCAGGTGTGTTCTGAGATAAAGCCTAGATTTATTAAAATGTCTCCCGAGTAATAAGTGTCGCCACTTTCGGATCGCTTCTACGATTGCATAGGCCTCCTTTTCAACTGATGAGTGCTTTTGCTCAGCAGAAGTTAAAGTTCTTGAAAAGAAAGCTACAGGTCGACGGTTTTGAGTTAGAGAGGCAGCAATAGCATGTTCGGGGGCATCAGTCTCAATCTCAAAAGGTAGAGTAGAGTCTATAGCCATCAGGGACGATTTTGCGATCTCCTTCTTTAGATGCCTGAAGGCATCCTTTTGTTCTTTAGTGAGAGGAAAATGGGTAACTCTAGTTAGGGAATGTAATTTTTCGGAGAAATTTGATATCCACCTAGAATAGTGAGAGAACATCCCCATTGCTCGTCGGAGAGAGGTATGGTCTTGAGGTACTGGCAGATCCACCAATCCTTTGAGTCTGTCGGGGTCAGGTTTTACAGAACCCTTGCTTATAGTATACCCAAGCAAGTCCACTGAACTAAGTGAATAATGACATTTACTTTTATTCAGTGTTAGGCTGTACTTTGCCACAATACTCATAAATTTCTTTAGATTGTGGTCATGTTCAGCCTGGTTATGACCACAGATAGTAACATTGTCGATATAAGCGTAGGTTCCTCGGAGGTCTTCTCGCTTGATAATGTCATCGATGACTCGTTGGAAACTTGCTACTCCATTGGTCACTCCGAAGGGATTCGACAAAATTGGTACAGAGACCCAGCAGCTTCGAAGGCAGTATATTTTCGTTCTTCTGGCTTGATGGCAACCTGGTGATAGGCACTGGTTAGATCAAGTGTGCTAAATACCTGATAACAGGCAATCTCATTTACCATGTCCTCTATCCGAGGAAGTGGATAAGCATCCAGAAGAGTGAACCGATTTATCGTCTGGGAATAATCCACGACGAGTCTCTTTTTGTGATTTTCAGGAGACACTACTAGAGTTTGGGCTCGCCATGGCGATTGAGATGGCTCTATAATTCCTTCCTTCAGCATCCGCGTTATTTCTGAACGAATGAATTTTAGCGTCAAGTAGGCTATGTCTCCTGGATTTTACTGCTATTGGATGACAGTCAGGAGTTAGATTCGCAAACAGAGAGGGGTAAGGGACATTATTAATTGCAGTTAGTCCACAAACAGTGAGAGGTGGAAGCAGTCCCCCGAAAGGTATTTTCACTGAAGAATGTTGACGTAGAAAATTATGCCCAAGAATGACATCACAGCATAAGTTAGCCATAACAGACAACTTGACATTAGTGTACTCTCTACCGCTTAGATTGAGGGATACTATACAATGTCCAAGAGTAGAGGATGAATGGGAACTGCTAGCCATAAAAATTCTTTCTGAACTTGGCGAGATTTCCAATCCGAGCCTTTTTTTAACCTTGTCAGAATTAATAAAATTTTCAGAGCTGCCAGTATCAATAAGTATTTTTAGAAACTTGCCTTTGATTTTTCCCGCAAAGTCGTGCAAGATAGACTCTCTGAGAAATTATGTGATGGAATGGAAGACGCAGAATGGACTCACCGTGGTTGATAGCAGCTGCAGTAGGTGATTTGCAGACACGAGCAAAATGTCCTTTCTTTTGGCAATTTTTGCAAATGGAGTTTCGTGCAGGGCATCTAATTCTGTCATGTCTCTGATTCCCGCAGAAGAAGCATTTTTGTCCAGAGATGGCGGCCACGGTATGTTCCTCATAGCCCCTAGGCTGATCTTCATCGTCAGTTACCTCAGTTCGAGCAGTAGAGGCAGAAGCGTTTAGTGAGTTCTGTTGAGAGTAGGATGCTAATTGTTTCTGTGCCATCTCAAGTGTTAGCGCCTGGTCATAAGCGGTGCCTAGAGTGTTTTGTTCTCCAGGAGTCGTTGTCTGATGTGATTAGACGAAATTCCGTTTATAAACGCGTCTCGTATGTATTCGTCTCTCGCCTGTATTGCTGTAACAGCCTGGAACTTGCAATCCTTGGCGAGTTTCTTTAAAGCTTGCAAATACTGGTCTACACTCTCGTCTGTTTGTTGACAATGAGTAGCCAGCAGATGTCTACAGGAGATGGTATTTCTAGGCTGCACAAACACTCCTTCCAGAACGTCCATGGCAGAATCGTAATCGTCCACGTCGGAGACGTGTTTGAAGATAGTGGGAGAGACAAGGTTGATAAGTAAGTTCAGTTTCAGCCTGTCTGTCAGTGGAGTCTGTTGTTGTGATTAATGAAAGAGAACAATAAAAAACATGAGTAATCAAGAATACAATGACAACACATTTTTTGCATGATGTGTTAGAAATTCACAAGTTCCTGGCTAAGAAGTCCATTACAACCAGCTAAATCACCAGACCAGTGATTTGGGGCTATTTCTAAAGTTGAAAAATACCCTGAAAGGACAAAGAATTGCTCACACCCAGTAACATGTGAAGACATATTAAATTGTCCATGTGTTCTTGCTGCATAAATTCTGATATAAAACAATGGTAATCAGTAACATTTTATCTCTTTCTTCTTTTTACACAGTATTTCCCAGCTTCATGGTGATGGTGACCACTCCCCTTTCATCTACCAACTGGGGATTCCATCTCTGGCACCAGCATATATGTACAACCAAGATGTAAGTTCTTTAGTTTCTCTCTTTCTGATACAAACATATATATATATATATATATATATATATATATATATATATATATATATATATATATATATATATATAAGTGAACATAGAAGTCAACACTTTGAACCTCTAAGTGTTGACTACTATGTTCACTTTTATATTTACACACGCTCTATCTCTGATATTGAGCACTTTATCCCATATAGCACATCTTAAGACTATATATATATATATATATATATATATTATAATATAAGCTCTACTTCTGTATGGAGCACTGTCTTCTTAAAAATAAAAAACAAAAAATACTAAGGAACCCCAGATTATACACCCAACATGTTCTTTTCTATTTTCTGCATACCTACGCACTTATATATATATATATATAATTATTTATTTAAAAATATGATTCCAACACTCTACATAAGAGGTCTCATGTTTCAAAACAGAGGAATTACCTAACGAGTTCTTTCCTATTTTCTATATATTTTCACATATATATATATATATATATATATATATGAAATGAAAAAATTTTTTTTTTTCGTTTCATTTCATTGTTGGAAGTACTATCTGATGATCCAGCATCCTTTTAAAAGGACTCTGGTGAAATAAATTATTATAATGGTACCTTAAAGTGGTCTGTTTTTCTTTTAAATATTAGCTCTGGATTTACATTGAGCTCTCAGGATTTCATCCTCCTTGGGATTACCCATACAGATTACCAAGTTCTTCATAACTAACTGTTACATTAGAACATGTAAGTTACTACTACAAAATTGTACATTTTGTTTTGATGTTTAATAAACGTCTCAGGTAGCTACCATCATTGTTAACTACCTGATGAAACGTTTATTAAACATCAAAACCAAATTTTTGTATTAGTGACTTGAATGTTCTAATGTATCAGTGTAAAATAAATATTTATTTCTCTACTCTTGTATTGGGCCCTGTTTTAAATTAATGTTTTGAACATTGGAATTTTATTTTTTGTTCTTTTATACATATATATATATATATATATATATATACAAACACACATTTTTTTCCTCACCAGTAGCACGACTTGGAGTCTGTCAGTTACAATACTGGCACAGTCTATTATACAGAGATCATTGGGTTTAGAAAAATATTTTGTATTTAAAATAGATGGGATTTATGTTTAACATAAGCTGGGATTAATAAAAAAAATTGTATTAAAATAAACGTACTTAAAACTATTAACAAAAAGTATATATGCTCAACATAAGATAAGTAAACAGAAGAAAATTAAAAAAGAATAGGTTATAATCTACAGTAGAAATTAATCTGGATCAACACATTTTAACAAGTATCTATTTTTATGCTTACGTATGACTACCAATTCATTTCTCTTGTTTAATTGAGTGTTTTAATTTTTCTACAGGCATAAATTACATCTATCACCTTTCCCATTATACGATTTGGTTTCAGCTATTATATTCCATATAATTATTGGGTGTATTACCATCATTTTTTAATGACCAGAAATTTTTGGAGGGTAGCCATACTATTCATGTATCTTACATTATCTAAAATCATTTGATTATGACTAAAAATGAAATTTTCCAAGGATTTTCAGTGGACCCAATATAAAAATTTGACATTTATATATATATTTTTTTTTTTTTCAGAAGTAAAGTCTAACTGTTCATATTGTTCAGGGCTGGTGCATATTACCACCAAACTCACCGACAAGTGGGCAAGCCTAATTGGGGGCCCTTGGCAGTTAGTTGTGATCATCTTTATATTATCAACATTTGATTTTTTTCTACCTACATTTATATACATTACAAATTAAACTAAGCACAACTGACCATTAAAGGATGAAAAATTTTCATGGATTTTGATGTCATTCTGGGGTCATTTTTTTCATCCAAATCCATAAATTTGTTTTGCTCATGCCATGTCTTGCAAAAACACTATATAAAATTCAATATTTTTTAATGTTGAATGAATTAAATTACTCAACTATTTAACAAGAAAAAATCTCCAGTTGACATTAAAAATTGCTTCAAAACATTGTTCAAGATGACATGATCTGTTATGACATATCTCTAATTTGTACTTAGATACATTGTATTTATTTTCAATTTTTCTAGTGGAACTATTCACCTATATTTTATATGATCCATTAGTGTACATAATTCAGTCAGTTATGTGACATGTGTGATACATGCATAGGCAACCATGTATCTTTCAATACATGACTGATGAGGCAGATTTTTTCCTGCAGTAGGTTGTTATTTTCTTTCTGTGGTAGACCAGTTGCCATCCGAGGCTATAGTAATCCAGTCTATCCTGCTATTTGCCCATAGCTGGAGGAAAAAGAAGAGGATTCATACCTTCCCCAAGGGTATTAGCACATAAATGAATGTAATGGATTTGATTGAAATTCGAACTCGGTTCTCTGATTCCTTAATGGACACCACTATGCCTCCTGTACAAAATTAGGTTACAATAAAAATTTGTATTTTATATGAATACTACCTTATCAAAATTGAGATGTAGTAGGGTGGTGGGGTCTGTATCATAGATTGGGGGAGTCCCATGAGACCCTTGCACTGGCCTTGATATTGTTCATAGATTTCTGAAAGAGATGAATTGAAACAAAGTGCTAGTATTGACGTTTCTTCCTTTTTCTTCTGCTTACCCACAGATTTCTGAAAGAGATGAATTGAAACAAAGTGCTAGTATTGACGTTTCTTCCTTTTTCTTCTGCTTACCCACAGATTTCTGAAAGAGATGAATTGAAAAAAAGTGCTAGTATTGACGTTTCTTCCTTTTCTTCTGCTTACCCACAGATTTCTGAAAGAGATGAATTGAAACAAAAGTGCTAGTATTGACGTTTCTTCCTTTTCTTCTGCTTACCCACAGATTTCTGAAAGAGATGAATTGAAACAAAGTGCTAGTATTGACGTTTCTTCCTTTTTCTTCTGCTTACCCACAGATTTCTGAAAGAGATGAATTGAAAAAAAGTGCTAGTATTGACGTTTCTTCCTTTTTCTTCTGCTTACCCACAGATTTCTGAAAGAGATGAATTGAAACAAAGTGCTAGTATTGACGTTTCTTCCTTTTTCTTCTGCTTACCCACAGGTTTATCCATACCTGCCCACCTATCCAGCATATAATACATTGGTTGATACATTTGACTACCTGAGAGATTTCATTGACAAAAACCTCACCCTTCACATGACAGTGGCCAAAGTTGTGGCTGAGGTCATCCTTCGCCTTTCTGACTCTTTAATTCTTCCCTTGGATGTCAACAACTACGTGTGGCATGCACTCAATGTGGGCCGTGAAATGCTTGGACGTTTTAACAAAACATATGAGCAGGCAGGAATCTCATTGAGTAAGTTTGTTTGTTTTTTTTTTTGCTTCTTTTTTGATGTTTAAATCCGCATTGTCTATCTCTATCATTGTGTGCATATTTGTGTGCTTATGTCTGTGTGTATATTATGTTAAATGTAATGGTAATACCACAATTCCCCATGCCTTCACCCATAAAACGCACACCTAAAATTGTGCTGAAAGTGTGGGAAAATGCTTCTACTCACACATAATACGCACCCCTTGTTTGGTAATCAAACCCTATAAATTGTACCTCTCCAATTTCATTATGGCCAGCATTTCCTACTCTTATTTAAAAAAATGGTTTTAAACATAGAATAATAATATTCTAATTTAGTTTTATGATAATTCTTATTTTATTTTATGGCAATTTTTAAAGATATCTTGTACCTGTGCATAATACGCACCCCTGATTTTGCTTATTATTTTTTAGAAAAAAATGCATATTATACATGGGGAATTATGATATTAGCCATTTCCATATAAGGAAACATTTGGCATTTACTGAATGAGCAGCTGGTACAGCTTTCTTAAAACAATTTTTCACAATATTAGGCTTCTCAAGTCCTTTATTGATGTGGGTTTCCTTCCTAACCTTTTGTTTGAAATAGTGTGGAACAACAATATCTGCCATGAAAATTATGATAGAATAACAAGAAGCAAGCAAAGTTTCATTTGTAGGAAAGGAGTTATAGAGTGGAAAGTAATTCATCAACCACAACATTGTCTAAATGCTTTTGAACATCGTTAAGACTGGAAAGTAAGAATTTGGCCACCTCCAGAACAAATATGGCAAGAATACTTAATTGTAATTATAAGAGTATTATAATTACAAATTTTGAAAAAAATTAATTTTCTGGTCATTTCTTTCATGCAGCAATTCATTGATATTTTTATAAAATTAATAATGAAAAACTTGTTTTCATCATTATTTATAAAATGGCAAATAATAAATATTGAATTGTAGATTGTTTACTTATCTTGATAATTTTATAATTTTTTTTTTTAGATTTTTAAATAAAAAGATTTCTTTTCACATTTATTTCTTTATAATAGGTAAATAACAAATATCATATTGTAATTGGTTCACATATTTTTATTATCTTGCAAATAAACATTGTCAAAGAAATAAAGGCAGCACAAAATAATACCAATGTCAGGGGAAAGACCATTTTTTGGGGGGTTTTTTAGAGGCTGTTTAGTTTGTGGTCTCATAAGTTAAAGTTTGCTAATTTTTTGCTTCTCTAAAACATCAACGTTGAGAAATTTTTAATCTTCAGATCAAAACTGTCTTTAACATTAATGCTCAATACAGCATCTTACATCTCTTGGTTATTGGCATTTATTTTGTATATCACATCATTGTAGGTACACTATACCGAGCAATGGACAACTTCTCGAGGGCTGCAGATGATTTCTTCCAGTTATACCGAGACTTACCAGTCAAAAATCTCAGGTACTTTTTAGTTTTTTTTCCCTTTCTTGAACTGAATATATATATACATATGGTACATGTATACATATGAATTGGGATCAAATTCAGATCAAATATGAATTAGAATCTGACAGAATGATAAGATAAAGAATAAGAAATGTTTATCAATCTAACATGTTTTATCTTTATTATTTGTTTCTTATTTATTTATATGAATTGTTATTTTTGGTTCTTGTGTCAGTAAGAATAGTTCACAGAACCACATAAAAATTCTTCTAAGGTAACAAGAAAAATTAATATGAAAATTGACAATACTTTCATTCTTGATCCTATTTTATACAACTTGTTTAATCTCTCTCTCTCTCTCTCTCTCTCTCTCTCTCTCTCTCTCTATATATATATATATATATATATATATAAATTTACCTTTGTTGCATTAAATTACCAGACAACAGAAAAGTGGTTGTGTCAAAACATAACCACAAATGCAAAAACGCACACACAATACACAAGAATGGAGGAAGGACTAAAAAGATTCACAGGTCATAAAAAATTAAGAACAAAAAACTCATCCCTTCCCCTTACTCTGACCAATCCTAATGGTTTTATTATCCCTTAAGCAAAGGAACACTTTCCTGCCAGTCCAAGATGATTTTGGATTATTACTACACACAAAAAAGACAATGGTTAAAAAAATCAACAAAAGAAAAAAAATAATCACTTTAAATAATATATGCAAATAACAATTCTTTGCCTGATGAAGCCCACAAGACATGAAACACATGTAGCAAAAAATATAGAAAATAAAATATAATATGCAAAAAAAAAATCCACATTATAACCAAAAACATTTGCAGAGTCTTCTCTCCTTAAAATATACACATTTCTCTTGTTGGAACAACTATAATCTCTCCCTTATATATATATATATATATATATATATATATATGCATTTTACCTGTTTGTGACTGGAAGGGAAAATTCTGAGGAGGACATAAATCCAGGGAGAGCTCAATGTAGACTACAGAGCAATATAATGATAATAAGAAGACGGAGACTTTAGTTATCCATTTCAATTATAATTTATTTTGTGAACACTGAGTTGTTCAACTCTTTGGACCAAAATCTCCTCTGTAAATGGAGAAAATACACTGGACAGACACATTAGATTGGTAGTGGGGAGGGAAGGTGAGAGAGAAGGGATGGGTAAAGAAAGGGCTAAGGGATTACTGGTTGATAGTAGTCAGTTCACCTTGCCAAGAATTTATTCTATAATTTTGAGATTTTATATTGGGTTGTATTTTATATTGAACAGTACTGTTTGTTGTTTTTAGGCAGGAAAAACCAGGTTAATTGAAATTAATTTAATGAAAGAGATCTTAATTCAAATAAAGATTGGTATTAATATAGTAATACTTAAGTATTTTGTCATATATATATATATATATATATATATATATATGAAGAAATATAGTCTTAAGGTGTGCTATATTTATGGGATAAAGTGCTCAATATCAGAGATAGAGCGTGTGTAAATATAAAAGTGAACATTGAAGTCAACAAAGAGGCGACAGGCTATTTCATGCTAGATGCAATCATCAGGCCATGAGTGTTGTTTGTTTTTCTTGGCTATTTATATATACGGGTCAGTGGTGCATTGTGGGTAGTCAATTTTGGCAGTTATTTTGCTGGAAGTTGTTTATTTATTTATTTATATATTTGGGTTAAATTCTTCCAGCAAAATAACTGCCAAAATCTACAATGCACCACTGGGCAAAACAGAAAAAACAAACAACAACATGCCTCTATTACATCTAGCATGAAACAGCCTGTTGCCTCTAATATTGACTTCAATGTTATATATATATATATATATATATATATATATATATATATATGTATGTGTGTGTGTATATACATATATATATATATAATGTATATATATCTTCTTTAATATATTTTTTTTCAGTGTGAGTTTTGATTAATATCATCAAATTGTCACATTTCTTTGATATATACAGTAAGATTTTGATTAATGCAAACACGATTTTAAAATTTCTTCATATAATTAAACTGTTGGATAAGACTGACACTCCTTTATGTTGAAGAATGATGCCACCATTGAGAGTGAAAAAGAAAAATACAGTAATTACTTTTCACATTAAATGAGGCATAATTAAAAGATTTAAATTTAATATGAATAAAATTATGATTAGCTTGGTTTTAACAAGGCGAAAATACAGTGTATTTTATTTGATTATTGCCAGCAAATATGTAAGTAAAATAATCAAAATGCAATAATGGCTGAGAGAGAAGATAAATGAACAATTTGGCTGGAAGATTGTAATCAAAAGTGAATTTCCATTTGGACCAATAATATCATAGTCAAAGTTCTTGATCTATTTCTGGTAACTGAAAAAAAAAGAGATGAAATTTTGATTGGTCATTTAGACTAGTGTACTCCTCTTGGTGTTTATACTCACAATATTTCGGATGTTTCACTTTCTGCACTTCTTCATGTGTCTGTCATACTCAGTAATCATCTTGGAATTATGAACAAAAAAATACTTTATTCATTTTACAAGAGTAGACATGCAACATATTTTTATCACATTAAAAATTGTTATAGCATACTTACGGATGATAATGTGTATACCTCCATTCCCATAAAGTGAATACTGTATGTGTTGGTCTGCAGTTGGAGATTCATCTTCAGCTGGCCTCAGATGAAGCTATGTCGAAGGGTAGAAACTGTTAGTATAGAATTTACAGTTATATCGAGCCAGCTTAACTGCAAATTGATGAGATCTCGATGCCATTCTAGTGCTGCGCTTAAATTAAAAAACTCAAGGTACCATAGCAAAGAGCTCATTCGAACAATTACCATGAAAGTATTTACAGAAAAAACATAGAGAGGAAACCTTATAATAGTGGGAAAGTGACTGATAATATTGCTGATTTTTCTTTGGAGCTTATCAAGAAGCTCAAGGTAAATAACAGGGGCACTGGACCATATGACAAATGGCAAACGGATAGATATATAAGTGTTTTACTCACTATTTACATTATTCAGACTATTGTCCTTATCTTTGTCACCATATTTATTACAACATTTCTGCCGTTGTACGCTTCGGCTTTCTTCAGGTGGTTGGAATGTCGAACTGAACCCTTTATTTCGCTCACTGGGGTAAACTGTTCTAGTTCCACGTGCCATGTTTAATGGATGTCAGTTATCAGTTGTCTTCTGTTAATTCCCCTCTCCAAGTTCTCCACTGCCCTAGCTGGGTATTGAACTCACACTCTTTGGGTCCTGTCACAGGATCTAACCAACGCCTTTATCCACTGTGCCATGTGTCCTTGAGGATATATATACCTCATCTCAGAAATATAGACAGACACTGAAGTGTTTTACTGTTTTTAAACTACAATTCTCCATGATTTTCTCTTGTACATTCATATCGATGCGTATCCAAATGTAAACAAATGGTGTCACACATTATGAAATGGACAAAGTCCGACAATTATTTGTCCATTTCATAATGTGTGACTTCATTTGTTTACATTTGGATATGCATCAAACGAATATGAATGCACGAGAGAAAATCATGGAAAAAAAAAAAGTTTAAAACAATAAAAGAGACTTGTTAACTGAAATGCTCCTCTGTGGCTAAATCAGTAAAACCACGTCAGGCTATATGACGATATATGAGTGCGTTAACTAACTAAGGAAGAAACAGAATTATATGGTATTATCAGCTATTTCTTTCTTTCTTTTTCTCACTGAAACCAAACAGCATCTCTGATATGTCTTTTGCATATTTCCTCATGATTAAAACGGAAAGGTCCATTATTTATGGGGTATTGGCAGGGCATAACATACACACCAACTCATTAAGGAATGAAGGAAGAATCCAAATTATGAAAGGACATTCGTTTTCCTGATTAGAAAAACATTAACTTGAAATCACTTTTAATTTATGAATTTAGATAGAAACTCATGAATTTTAGAGCAGTGTTTCTAGAAATTAAAATTAATCATATTTTTTTAATTTTCCAGAGCCTCCTCTCAAACATTATTTCAAAAGCGCTATGACAAGGTTAAGAATGAGTTGTTTTGGCAAACAGAAGTAACCGCCATTTGACAGATAATCATGTTATTAAAAAAAATTAATTTTTTCTATCATTATTTTATTTAAATTTCTTGTTTTATTTCAGTGAATACGAAATACATTTAATCAATCATCAGCTGATTCGTCTGTCTCGAGCGTTTATAGTCGACCGTGGTCTTCCTGGCCAGCCCCATTACAAGTAAGTCCGTTATTTTTGTTATAGCTAAAAATGCTATATAATAAAAAATAACAATTCTAAAAAGTCTCTTAAAGTTTTAACTCAGTCTATTTTTGTCATAATTTTTATAGTAAATGAAATTTTTGTATGACTCAGGTGATAATTTTTTTAAAAAAATATCCTTTGTTAAAATGATGTCACACTTTTCAACATTTTTTCTCTGTTTTGAAAAAAAATTGTTTCTCTGACTGCAAAATCTGGAAAAGTGGGTCTTTAACTATGGTTGAAGTATCTGAAGATTTTAAAAATAAATAATAAACAACAATCCCTATTTGTGAAGAGTGCAACATTGTCTTAATGTGTAGGATATTTTGATAAACATATTGGTTTATGAGAGGCTGGCAAAATTATTTCCTGTATAGCAAACATCTGGCATTAATTGACCAAACAGTGTTACTGTTTGGTTGAAATTTATGAAATCTTTTTCTTAAACAGTTTTTCAGCAAAATATGTTTCTCAAATTCACTGTTATTTCTCTTCATGCATTCATAAGAGTTTCCGTCCAAACCTTTTGTTTGAAGTAGTGTGGAATGTCAGCATCTTGATTATATCATTATTTTCTTTTCTAGTTACATGTGCTATCCATTTTAGTTGTTGTTATTGTCTTTAAGTGATGGCTTAGTGGTAGAATCCCCGACTGATACCAATTTAGTCGGGTTTCAATCCTAGCTAGAGGCAACTGGACATCTAGCCACACTGATAAGCTGTGATACAGCAAAACAGTCTGTCTGTGGATGACAATATATATTATATATATATATATATATATATATATTCAGGAATCACAACTTATCTTTGAATGGATGTGTCCCAAATACTTATGGTTCCGCCATATGTGAGCACCTCTTAAATAACAGAGGGTGTGCTGTTAATTTTAGTGCAGGCAGGTTCACTGTTCTGTCCCGGTCACACTCGTTATTTCATCTCAAGGTGCTGGAGGCACTTTATGTCAGGTCCTGCAAGCATTCCCTGTGTAAACAGCGTGAATGTTTATTGGGGCTCGTTGTCATTTGCCTCTAGCTCTTTGTGTTCATTTCTTTTTTTTCCCTCTTCATTACACCTTTTCCTGTTATTTTAATCTAAGTTAAATCTCCCAGAGAGGCCTGAAGAACAGGAGCGAAATCGGTTGATTCACTTTTAAAAATGTCATGTAATATTAAACATACTTTCATTTCTTTAATTTGATTTTGTACCTTTAAAAATATTTTCAAAATATATATATATATATATATATATATATATATATATATATATATATATATTATATCCTTACTCTGTCCTGGACATTGAGTTCTACCTGGATTCTATCCTCTTTGAATTATTTTTTATACATATATATATATATATGTATGTGTATGTATGTATATATATTTATATATTTTAGATATATGATTGCATATGTATGTGTATATTTACCACTAATATTATCTATCTATATATATATATATATATATATATATATATGGAGGCACAGTGGAGTAATGGATAGTGGCTTGGATTGAGGAATCGCAGAGCCAAGTTCGAATTCCAGTCGAATCCATTACATTAACTTACGTGCTAATACCCTTGGGAAAGGTATGAATCCTCTTCCTCTCCCTCCAGCTATGGGTAAAATAGCAGGACAGACTGTGTTCTATAGCCTTGGATGGCAACTGGTCTAGGAGAAGAACAACTCTGAATTCAAAACCTGCGGAGGGTTGTTTGGGAATCTTGTGGCATTCGGTGCACCAGGTCTCTGTATTCGTCCCTTCAAAAAGTGTGGATGGTCCTGCACGAAACCTTCACCACTATAATCAAATCTCATGTGCCGGTGTCAGGCTGTCAGTTTCCAGGAAACTGATCTGCTTGACCCTCATATGTTGAATCTCGACGGGAGAGTCGACTATATATATATATAATTTCAGATATAACTACAATATATCTGTAAAAATTTCAGTTTCAATTGTTTTGTTCTTTCTTCTTAATTCTTGTTCTTTTATTGTCCCTGCTCTCTGTAATAATCTTTTTCTCTTCCTCATATTCTCTGACACTCAGTAACACCCTTGTGTCTTAGTGACTTTATTACCTTTTTGGAGTGAAATGTTTAAATAGAAACAGACATTCTAGGCATGCAATCTTAATTTCTGTCAGTGTAATTATTGAATCCAATCATGCTTTATAGAATTACTTTTGTCCTATCTGAAGTTGAAGAATCTGTCAACTCTTTCCCGGAGCCAATTATGTGAATAAATAATAATGTACAAACCTCAAATTAATATTGACATATTAAATTTGTCCAAGTTTATCATATGCTAATAAAATATTTATTTCTTCATTTTGAATTTACTGCCAATTTATAATTATCAAACAGACAAGTTTTACAGAGATATATGTAAAGGGATGCTGAAAAGTTCTTGGCTTGATCATGAAGCTCTTCCAGAGAAATTCTGATATTTTGTCAGATTTTGAGAAGTGGGTTCACTTAATTTTTCAGCACCCCTTCATATGTATGCATACATATTTTTTACTAAAAGTTCATACAATACAAGGCCTAAGCGCCACTCAAGGTAGAGGGTTACTAAATTAGGTTGTTGTAAGAACATACAAGGAAGGAGCAAGAAGTGCATATTATGAGGATATGTAGGATAGATAACAGTTGACCCGAGACTTGAAGTTAGAAGTGGTCATGGAAGAATTTCTTCAAGAGTCTGTTCCACAAAGCAGAGGCTCTTGGGAAGAAGCTGTCTGAACAGAACATCATTCTTACCAATGGAATATTAAAGGAAAGAGGGTGATTTTGACTATATGTACATAACATGGTGAGTATTAGCTGTAAAGATCTAAACTGGTGAAACTAGGAAACATTTTCCATGGAAATAGTGATAGAGGAGCAAGACAGTAGTAGCTGATCATTTATAGCATGATGTTATTCTTTTGTGATTTTCAACAGAAAAAAATACAGTGGAGTGTAGAAAAAGAAAACTTTCTTGGTTTAGCTGTTAACAAGATATAATATTAGAACTGTGTTTTCTTGGTGTCAGTCTATCCATATGTCTGAAATGATTCAAGGGAAACCATGATGCTGTCTTCTTGTGTAAGACCATTTGTGTGACCTGAAAAAAAGACATCAAGAAAGTGGAAGGCTAATTAAAACTGACAGCAGAAAAGAAAAAGGAACCAATGTTGCACAAATTAATCGGTTGATAATCAGCAATTTAATTACTCTCAGTAAAGTTTGGCAAAAAATGAAAATTAATGAAAAATTACCAGAATATTATTTAAATTTATTCTATGTCTAAGATAATTGATGATTTTTTTATCCATAGATGAAATTTCTGTGATGTAATAAATCAGGTTGATTGGGTATGAAAATCAATTAATCCGAGAAGAATGGGGGGAGATGATGGCCAATTAATTGGTAAATAGTGGTATGACCAATTGCTGATTATCGGTTGATTAAACAGAGCAACTCTAAAAGGGACCAATCAGTGGTTGCATCATACCAGTTTGCACTAATAAATTTTTAAAAGCTTAGCCAACTGGTTGTCGGATTATCTGAAAATGATTTTATGTATTAATAGCTGATATATAATAGCTAAAAATATAATTAATAATATTGCTTTAAGTTCTGCAGAGGTTGCAAGATGGTTTTTTGTGATTAGCATAATTTATTCTAACAAAAGAAATTGTCTTGAAGTTAAAAATGTGGTAAATCTTCTAGTTATGAATTTGGTAAGTGTTCCATTGGACTGCAGCAATTCAGTTTGTATGTGGCTAAGAAACCATAACACAGCTGATGTCACTTAGAGTCAAAAGACATCATATCTCTGAAGAGAAATATGACGATAACAATTTTTCTATCTGGAAATATTTTAATAGATAAATGTTTTCTATTAAATTATCAAAATGATTAAATCCTTTTCGATGCTTGTAAAGTGATTTGTTTTCATTCTCAGATTGAAAAGAAAATAAGCAAAATAGGTTCCTAAGGATTACCTGCCTTTATAGAACCGGTTCCTGGAAATTTGGGATGCCATTTCTGGGACCAGAATATACTTGGATACCAGAGAACTGTAAAATTGATACATCTGTAGAAAAAAAGATACTGCATTGGTCCCCGACAAATTCTGGTTAACTTTTCTTTCCCTACAATTAGGCTTTTCTAATTCCAGCAACTATTTGCATTTTAAAATAGGGAGTACCTGGTTGCTGTAAAGAGTACAACAATTCACCCCCCACTTTAACCCTCTACTGATTGACAACAGTGAGACATAGAGTTGCTTCTTTTAATTTAATTAAACACTATATTATAAAGTTCTTTTCTTTTTATGGGCTATGTCCTTTCAGGATGTAGGTGATCATGGCTCTCCACCTCCTTCTATCCCTTGCTGCTCTCAACAAGTTCCTTCTCTATGCTATCTCCCACAAACCACATTCTATCATCCACCTTCCCGAGTTGGCGATCAGTCTCATCTTTTTTCTTTCTTTTTATGTGCCATGTCCTTTCAGGACGTAGATGATCATGGCTCTCCACCTCCCTCTATCCCTTGCAGCTCTCAACAAGTTCCTTCCCTCTACTTCCTACCCCAGACCATGTTCTGTCATCCACTTACTTAAGCCCGCCAGGTATGTCATGTGTTGTTTTCCCTTGTCTCTCTTTCCCCTTTATTTGACTTGTGAGTATCAGATTCTCCAGGCCCTCCTTCTTCATTATGTGTACCAGAAACTTCAGATGCCTTTTCTTGATGTTAAGTATAAGCCTCCTCCTTGTTTGCATCCTCTCTAAGACCTCATCATTGCTCACATGCTTGGTCTATGATATCCTTAGCATCCTTCTGTAGAACCACATCTCTGTTGCCTTGAGTCTCTCCTTCAGCTTTGAAGAAATCATCCAGTAATCGCTGCCATAAAGAAGGACAGATGTCACGTAACAGCTCATTATTCTTTTCTTTGTTACCAAAGAAATCCTCCTGTCTTGGAAT